CGCCTGCAGAGCGCCACGCTGAGGGGGGTGCTGGGACCCACCGCAGCAGCCGCCCTCCCAGGCCCCCCGTTTCCTTTCACCCCTGGAGCACCGGGCTGGCCGTCCTCCGTGGCACGGAAGAGGCGTCTGTGTCCAGGGGGAGGAGTGGGTGGCCCTGGCCCATGGCGCGGCGGGCGAGTGCTCGCCCCACGGCCGCCTCCCGGGTGTGCAGAGGAGGTCTGGCGTGACAGCACGCACCGCACACCTACCACACACACCACACGCTGACAACACACGCAGCGCCTGGTTCAGACTCTCAAGTCCCTCTTGGCACCGGATCAGAATCTGTCTTGGGAGGGGGTGTCTTCCTTCTCTCCCTACATGCGCGCCCCTGACCCCAGCTGTCCAGTTTGGGTGGGGTCGGGGGGAGAGCACAGAGCTGGGAGTCCAAAGGCAGCTTTTCCCTCCCGGTGTCCTGGGCCCCCTCCCCCCCAGTGCCTAGAGCTATTAATAGCGCTTCAAGCGAAGTGGGTGTGGTGGGATCCCAGCTGCCCACCCGGCAGGACTCTAGCGCGGGGAGTGGGGAGCAGAATGATATAATAATACATGTGCCAGGCACCATCGTTGGAATTGGCTAATAATGCTCCTGTGTTAACGCGTTTAACATGGCAACCCCGTGAGGTAGGGGCTGCTGTTATCCTGTTTGACAGATAAAGACACCGAGGCACAAAGGAGTTAGAAACTTTCCCAGGTGCTAGTAAGTAGTGGAGTTTGTGAAGGGGGATCCTTGGGGCTTCTCCTTCCTAGTCTTGTCCTTGTACCTGCCTTGCTGGCGGGCAGCCCCTCAGACTCAGGCTCCCTGTTTCTTTCCCTGTCTCTGACTGGGCTGGGCTTTCGTGTGGTCCCACGGTGGAAGATCTCATGGAGGGGAGACAAGGGAGACCATGCACAACCTGAATTGGGGGTGGGAGGGTGCTTGTCCCTCTGTCCTCTAGGCCCTGGCAGGAATGAGCATGGAACCCAGTTTGGGCAGAGGTTCCTCTCCAGGCACTGGGCTTTGTGGCCTGGTGTCCGCCCCTGCCACAGTTGGCAGGGGGCCTTGCCCATTGCATTGCAGCCTGGGACATGCAACAATGAACCTTTCCTGTAGTGGAGGAGAATTTCAGGCACAAACTGCACGGGACTGAGGCAAGTCACAATATATTGGTTCTAGGCTTAGCATGAGCTCAAAATATTTCACAATCCCTCCCAGGAACTCCTTGACTAGAGGCCTGTGGCTCTTCGGTGGGAAGGCTCTTCCTTCTAGACTCTGGCCCCGACACTGTGGGCCTGGGCCTGTTGGCCTCCACTGCCCTTGCCCATGCCAGAGTGGCAGCAGCTTTGGCTGCTGGTTGGACCTGCCGCCTCCCCGAGCTGTGGCCCCTGGCAGGGCCCTAGGAATCCTGCCTTCTCTCCCTGTCTCTTCTCTGGCTTGAAGCGCAGGCCACCTCCCCTGCTGTTCTTTACTTAGCCTGGGCTCGAGATTAGCACGTTCTTGATTTCCTCTGTGCAGGCTCTCTGTGCCCCACGCTTGCCTGTGAGGCCGCTTTGGCCCTGTGACGCCAGCCGGCCCCCCTGACCAATCTGAAGGTCTTGCTTTCATTGCTTGGGTGGATTTTCATACCTAGGCAGGGATTTCTGGAAACATGTGCCTGGCTGGGTGTCAATGACCAGTCTTCATGGGAAATTCTTACTGAGTTTCTCTAAGAAATTAAAAGTACCACTCTTAATGATTTACTTTAGCACCCTGGGGATAGGCCTCCGTGACAGGGGACCCCTGTGGGAGGGGACCCCCGTGGGAGGGGACCTCCGTGGGAGGGGTTGAGTAGGGAGAAGCAGCAACAGGACAAGAGGTGTTGGCGCAGGAATTCTTAACCACTGGCTGAGGGGAGGGATTAAACAGAAATCAGGTTAGATCTTGTCTTTAGAAACTCAGGTTGAGGAGATAACAAGGCATAAATATGCAAAATGGTGAATTTCTTCAAAGTGAAAAGTAAGCTAGATAGAGTTTCTGAAGCACCTTCAAGCTTATTGTTTCACAAAATCGAATGCAGTTTTACTGACGAGGGCCGCTGTGCTACATCAGTTCACCTCCTCTAAAAGGTGAAGAATTTGTGTAAGCCTGGAAGTGCAGGGTAAACCCGGCCTTTCTTAAACTGCAAGTTCTCTTTTGCCTAGTGCCATGCACTCCAAGAGCAGGACTTGCAGTGAGTGCTCTGAGTTCAGGGGGTGCTGAGGAGGAGTGTGTACTTGGACTTGGGCCTTGGTGCACCCTCACTCAGCACAGCTCTGATTGGGTGAGAGCAGGGAGCTGATGGCCTGGCGGTGGTCACCAGACTGAAGACAGAAGCCCAGCCTGCAGTCTTGCTGGTGACTTTACTGGTTACCTAAGCAAGTTCCAGGCTCAACTCAGTGGTGATGGAGAGGCCCCCTGTGCTGTGGCAATAATGCTACTGGTTAACAGTGATGACTGCTTTTCTGATCACAAAGTACTTTTAGAGATATTATTTCATTAGATGCTCACATGGCTCTGTGACGCAGAGGCTGGGCAGGTATTACCACCCCTATCTTAGAGACATGACCTCTCCAAGGCTGTGCAAACAGAAATTCAACAGATTGCAGACCAGGGCCCAGGTCTTTCCTGACTATAAATCCACAACCTCTGGCTGCCTCTGGGTGAATTTGACAACTTGGATTCTTCCTTTCCGGGCCACTGCTCCTGTGTGCCTGTAGGGGGCGATAGAGGTTCTTTTTGCTTGGCTGCTCCTTCCGGAACCCTTTGAACCTAGCAGTCTTACAGCACATAATCTCACGATATTATAGGCATTTTCTGTGTCTACCTCCCATTGTGTCTTCTTCGGCCCCCCTTGCTAGCCTAAGCTCTTTCAGATCAGGAGTCCTCTGTTTGGTCTTTGACACTCGGCACAGTGCATGGCCCTTAGTAGCGGGAGCCCAGTAACTGCTTGTCGAATTGAATTACATAGGAGTGAAATTGGCCACTGTCTCCTCCTGCTCCGTGGGAAAGTTATAAATAAACTTCTTTCCTGGTCCATCCAGATGAGTGAAGTTGGAAGGGGTGCAACTCAGGACCTGTGCAGTGCCATCAGGTGGCCACAAGGTGGCAGTGTGGCACCATGGGCACTTGCCTCCTGCACCTGTTGGCTCCATCCAGCCCACTCTGCCGGAGAGACTGAGCTACCCAGTGGTTCATTCCTCCTGGGTACCTGTCTCGGAAGTGCCTCTGCAAAGTCCAGCTGAGAAGTCTCTGCCTCCAGCTTCTTGTAAAAGCCGGGCAGTATGGTGGAAAGGCTTGCGCTTTTGGCGTCTGCCAGGCCTGGATTCTAACCCTGGCTCTGCCATAAGCTGAGCCTTGAGCGTGCTGCTTCTCTGAGCCGCGGTTTCCCCATCCTATAAAAGGGCAAAAGTTGTACAGTCAGAAAAAGCCCGGTGTAAACACATGCCAGTTTTAGTGTTGGAAATTTCTGTGTTTGCTTTTCTCTGCCCTCTGTAACCGGCTCCATCTTGGCCATGTGATCTTATTCACCAAGCTTCAGACACTTTCCAGCAGTCTCTTAGCCTTCCCTGAGGCATCAGCCATCCACCCCAACCCTACCCCTCCATCAGTCAGTGCTCGATTCCACCGTTCCCCTGCCTGGAGGTCTCCCTGACACCCCAGCCCCGTACATGCCCAGAGCAGCGCAGTGTGTACCATGTAGGGCTAATCTCGACTTCCCATAGAGAAGGTAGTCTGCGAGAGTCATCGTAATCATTTCTGCCTCTGTGCCCTGCACTTAGCAGGCACTCTGCAACAGAAATGACAGCTGTGATTAGTGAGCACGTCAGGTATTCTAGATGCTTTGCAGAAATATTGTATTTAGTCCCCACAACAAATCTGTGAAATGGAAACTGTTACCTCCACCTTACAAAGGAGGGGTGAATCAGGATACTTTTGGGTCCAAGCAATAAAAATATCCCACTAAAAGCAGTTTAAACAGCAAGGAAAGTCTATAATCTTACCAAAAAGAAGTCCTGAGGGGATGCTTGGTGATAACAGCAAGGTCCAGGGCATTGCCATGACTCCTGGTGGCCTTGCTCAGTGTGTTGGTTTATCCTTGTAGGCTGGCCCCCCTTACTGGCAACAAGGTGACTGCTGTGGGCCCAGGTGCCACACACAGGAGCGAGGTGCCATGTGCTCCCTTTAGGAGAACTCTCAGCAGATTTGTTTCAGAGTTCTTGGCCAGTTGGGTCTTAGGCTTGTTCCCAAGCCGGTCACCACCAAAAGGACTAGGATTAACGAGACTGGCTTGCACTAGTCCAGACTCAGCCCCTGAGGCTGGCGAGAGGCCAGCCTCCTGTAGTCCCCCAGCTCCTGGTCCAGGGAAGAAGAGGGGACATAAACGAGGCTCAGCGAGTTAAGAAACTTGCTCAAGTTTGCAAATCTAGTAGGAACGGGGATTCAGACCAACATCTGGCTGACTCCCAAGGCCATCCGTTGGTTGATTGAAGTCCACCACAGAAGGAGATAGAACGTTGCTCTAGATTTGGTGCGCTGGGTTTGGGTGATCTTGGGGGTCCGTTTCCTACTGACTGTGGAGTCTCTCTGTTACAGGCTGATTCCCATCACTGTACTGGTTTTTCTCAGTCTGTCTTTCTCCTCCTACCCCCCACCCCCACCCTCTGTCTTCTAGTACCTGATGACTACTTGCCTTCTAGAATAGATCTCGTGGCCTAAGCTGGAAAAAGGTCCCCAAAGGGGTCCTAGTGAGGTGTCCTGCGGAGCAGACAAGGAGCTGCAAAGGCCCCGCGAGATCCGGGAGACGGAGTGGCCGGGGCTGGTGGGGGCCGGCGGGAGTGGGGGTTCGTGGAGTGTCGGTGGCAAGGTCAGGGCACGTGGGCCCAGGGCTTTTGGGATCGGCCCTCCGGGGCAGTGCCAGCGTCCCCTGGGGAGACAGTGCAGTCACCAGGCGCTGCTTGGCTTGCAGATGCTCCAGGACTGCCCGAAGGCGCGCCGGGAGGTGGAGCTGCACTGGCGGGCCTCCCAGTGCCCGCACATCGTGCGCATCGTGGACGTCTACGAGAACCTGTACGCGGGGAGGAAGTGCCTGCTCATCGTCATGGAGTGGTAAGCGGCCCGCCCTTCCGGTCCTGGCCCAGCCCGTCCCACTGCCCGCCCGGGTGCCTCACGCTGAGGACAGCCCAGGCACGGACCCTGAAGCCGAAATGTAAATGCTTGATTTCCTCTGGGGGTGATGGCGAGGGCGGCGGGCGGCCGTGTCCCCAGCCCTCACTGTGGCTCTTTTCCAGTCTGGATGGAGGAGAGCTCTTCAGCCGAATCCAGGACCGAGGAGACCAGGCGTTCACGGAAAGAGGTAGAAAGGGTCTGTCGTGGGGACGGGCTCGGGCAGGTGGGGCGGCAGGGGCCCAAGGGGCCTGTGCAGGACACCGAGGCTGCTGTCCCTTCGGCACGCAGCCACCAGGGAGGGCGTGATCCTCAGCCACCCAGGGCAGCTCCTGGTATCTTTGTCTCTGGGGTCCTCAGGCCGCATGGGTGTGGCCCGGTGCACGGGCTTTGAAACTTTGTGACTTTCTTTCCCCCTCCCCCATGCCGCCCTCTGCAGAAGCGTCAGAAATCATGAAGAGCATCGGCGAGGCCATCCAGTATTTGCACTCGATCAACATTGCCCATCGGGACGTCAAGGTGCCTGCTGTTCACACGCCCGTACCCGATGCAGTGGGGGCACATTGGCAGGCCTGGTACCTGCGTGTGCCGCTCTCTGCCCTGCAGGGCTCTGCTCTCCCTGCCTACGGGCAAACCCACAGAACTGGGCTCGAAGCCCCATCTGGCCACACTCAGCCCTCAACCAGAGCCTCCCACTCGCCCCCTCGGCCTTTCTGTCCCTGAAGAATTTACTGCCGGTTCTCGGTTCTCGGTGTCAGTCTCTTACCTCCAGGCTCTGTGAAGCCAGGGACCTGGCACCTCCCAGGGGCTGGGCTGTGGGATGGATGAGGGAGGGAGGAGCTGTTAGTTACCCTTTGGTTTCTCATGGCCCCTCGCAGGTCCGGCAGGGCTGTTACTCATCTGTCTCTCTTCCTGCAGCCCGAGAATCTCCTATACACCTCCAAAAGGCCCAATGCCATTCTCAAACTCACCGATTTTGGCTTTGCCAAGGAAACCACCAGCCACAACTCTTTGACCACTCCCTGTTATACGCCATACTACGTGGGTAAGTCCAGAGGAGGCCCGGGGACCGAGGCTTCCCCCAGAACTTTCCTCAGCCCTCCTCTTGGGGGGCCACACGTCCTAGCAGAGTCATGTCCTTCCTTTTCTGGCACTCTCTGATGGGGCCTGCTCTCATCAGGCCTGGGGAAGCAGGGCCTGGCAGAGTTGAGCTGGGAGCGAGACGTTGTAGGCAGTTCTCTGCCTGAGGTCACGGGCAGGATTTTGCATGCACGTGCACCTTCCCTGAGAAGAGCCACCGCTTCCATCATATTCTCAGTGGCATCTGGGACCCAGATTTGGTTCTAGAGCCTCAGCTAACGGGCACAGAGTAAGCTCTCATGCTTGTCAGATTAAATGGGTAGCGTGGGTCTGACGGTCTCATGCAGTTCAGGGCTTTTTTTTTTTTTTCTTGTTTTTTTTTTTGAGACAGAGTCTCGCTTTGTTGCCCAGGCTAGAGTGAGTGCCGTGGCGTCAGCCTAGCTCACAGCAACCTCAGTCTCCTGGACTCCAAGCAGTCCTGCTCCCTCAGCCTCAATCCTCCTGCCTCAGCCTCCCGAGTAGCTGGGACTACAGGCATGCACCACCATGCCCGGCTAATTTTTTCTATATATATCAGTTGGCCAATTAATTTCTTTCTATTTATGGGGGGTCTTGCACTTGCTCAGGCTGGTTTCGAACTCCTGACCTCGAGCAATCCTCCCGCCTGGGCCTCCCAGAGTGCTAGGATTACAGGCGTGAGCCACCGCGCCCGGCCATCGGGAATTTTTTAACCTTCAGATTCTAGCTCCCGGTTCCTCTTGGGGGAGAATGTTCTGTTTTCCTTCCAGCCCCAGGCTGGGTTACGGCTGTTCCTCCTTCCACCCAAGCTGCTGCTCCCTCACGCTGGGCTGGAAGGTTGGGACGGGGGCATCGTCCACACACGCCCGAGGGCCAGGCCCACCCACACTGGCCTTTGGTTTGCAGCTCCGGAAGTGCTGGGCCCGGAGAAGTATGACAAGTCCTGTGACATGTGGTCCCTGGGTGTCATCATGTACATCCTGTGAGTGTGCCGGGAAGGGGCGGGCGGGCACAGGGAGGCCTGGACCTCTCCAGGACGAGGAGAAGCAAATGTCAGCTGTCCCCCGTGGACGGGGGACTCCCCGGGACTCCCCTGCCTGCCGCTTCCCTCGGGGCCCAGGGGGTTCTGGCAGCTGGATGGCGGGTATAGCTGGCTAACGGGCCGCAGGGTGTGTGGCCAGACACTTGGTACGTTGCATTCTGGGGTCCCGTCCGTAGCTTCGTATGTTGCGCCTGCGTCGGCCAGCCCGTTCCTCTGTGCCCTTTGCAAGGAGAAGAGCCTGTTTCTCGCCTCGTTCCCAGCACAGGCCCCTCAGTAACACGCGCTGTCTCCCGCTTCCTCCCCCTCTTGGCGCAGGCTGTGCGGCTACCCCCCCTTCTACTCCAACCACGGCCTCGCCATCTCTCCGGGCATGAAGACGCGCATCCGAATGGGCCAGTATGAATTTCCCAACCCAGAGTGGTCGGAAGTATCAGAGGAAGGTAGGAACCCAGCCTTCCAGGGCCAGGGGCAGAGCCCGTGTGTGTGTGCGCGTGGTGTGTGGCATTCGTGTGCACATGTGCACGCGTGCGGGCATCCGTCTCGTGGGGGGTATGAGTGTCTGCACCTGTGCCCACACCTGCTGGGCGTGTCCTGCCCGAGTGTGGGGCCTGTCACGCGGTGAAGCCATAGTGGTCTGTGGGGCCGGTTCCTGGGTCAGTCTCCCTCTTTTGAGCCTGGTTTCCCCCTGAAAACTGGAGGGAGCAGCAGGACAGGGAGGGTGGCCCCTGAGCTGTCCCTGCTCGTGTCCCACTCTGCAGTGAAGATGCTCATCCGGAACCTGCTGAAAACAGAGCCCACGCAGAGGATGACCATCACGGAGTTCATGAACCACCCCTGGATCATGGTGAGCCTGGCCGGCCGGGGAGACCCGGGTCCAGGTCCGAGCGGACTGTCCCTCGGGACGTGGCCTTAGCCAGGATTCTGCCTGTCCCAGGCTTTCACTCGGACCCCTTTTCTCTCCCCTCAGCAATCGACAAAGGTCCCTCAAACCCCACTGCACACCAGCCGGGTCCTGAAGGAAGACAAGGAGCGGTGGGAGGACGTCAAGGTGAGGGGCCCCTCCGGGCGAGAGGGGCTTGGGTGGGGTGGGCAGCTGGCTGGGGGCGCCCAGGCGGGAGGGGCGGCACTGGTGGGGGAGAGTTTGGTTCTGCGTCCTCTCACCCTGGGGCCGTCTCCATTCCCACAAGAACAGTGGCCTGAGCCACTTCCCCGACCGGGTCGTGGGCAGAGCACTCCGTTCCCGCCCAGCTCTGCCGGGGCTGTTCTTAGAAGGCCTGTGCTCCCTGCGTCTCTGGCCTTAAGGCCATCTGGTGTGATCTCCTCATGTTGCAGAGAAGGGGAGTGACCCGCTCAAGGTCATGCAGCTGGTAACTGGCTGGGATGGACCAGACCCAGGTCTCCTGACTCCTGGTCCAGTGCTCTTTTTGGGCTCACTTGGGGGGCTCTTGGGAGAGCAGCAGCAGCAGCAGCCCGGCAGCCGCTCTCTGTTGCCCAGCGCTGGGGCGAGGCTGCTGTCGGCAGTGGGACCCGCTGACGGGCCGTGTTCTCTCTCTGCTCCGCCCCTGCTGCCCTCCTCCTGCCCTTGTCCTGTCTCTCATCTCCTGTGTCTCTCTGCCCGCTGTCCTCCTCGTCTTCTGGCTTTCCCGTTGCGCCTTCCTGCTGCGATCTCCCATCCCGCCCCAGGAGGAGATGACCAGTGCCTTGGCCACCATGCGCGTCGACTACGAGCAGATCAAGATAAAAAAGATCGAAGATGCGTCCAACCCTCTGCTTCTGAAGAGGCGGAAGAAGGCCCGGGCCCTGGAGGCTGCAGCCCTGGCCCACTGAGCCTCGGGCCCCCGCCCCGCTGGAGGACAAGCAATAACTCTCTACATAGATGTGTTTTTTAAACGCGGAGACACAGAACTGCCCACTGCCACCTCCTCTCCTCAGCCGCGTGGAGCCCCAACTGTGCCGGCGGCCGGATTCGGCCTTCGGTTCTGGCCACTCCGGGGGGAGAGGCTGGGAGGTTTGGGAGGCTGCACAGAGAAGCGAGCAAGGTGCTCTCGAACCTGTGCTCATTTTACAGTCTTTTATCAGTAATTTGACCTGGAATTTTTATGAAACCTCTTTTTTTTTGTCCTTTCTCCTACTTCTCACCCTTCCTACCAGACCCCTTCCTCTCTGCATCCTGCAGAGGTTTGGGGTTTGTTAGTTAAGGGTATTTGTGGAAACCGTTGTGGGGAGTGTCCCTGTGTTGTCCCATCTCCCCTCCTATCTCCTCAGGACAGCCTGGGGTCCCCGGCGTTCTGGGGACTCAGGGCCACCCTGGGGGAGGATGGCACCCACCTCCTCTTCTGGAACCCTCAGGCATCACCGGTGTGCCGGACAGACAGGAGTGAGTGTGCGTGCGCGTGTGCGTGTGTGTGCGCGCGTGTGTTTGCGTGTGCGTGCGTGAGGGCCCAGATCTGTGCCCGCGATCTGGCGTTTGCGGGGCCAGGGCAGGCAGGGCTGCAGAGGAGGGGCCCTGCTGTGGCTCAAGAACCCTGTTCCTCCTTGGGCCTGCCCTGCCCATTCGAGCCTGCCAAAGTGCCTGGGAAGCCCACCAGATCCTGAACCCGGCCCCGCCGGCCTTCCCCTGCGAGCCGCGTCCCGGGGGGCAGAGAGGAGTGACCTGGGCACGGGCACAGCGGCCAGGAAGACTGGACGCCCCCAGCCCCTTGTCCCCCCCTGCGCTGATCTGCCGAACGACCTCTCTCCTTCCCCTTCTCGCCACGATTAACCCATTCTTGTTTATTTCCCGTAAAGTTTTAGCCATTTCTCAGCGGGCTGCCTCCCGGCTCACACAGGCGAGCCCGGGCCGGCCGCGTTGGCTAGCTTCTGCGTTTCACGGGCGGCTGCTGGGCTCTGGGGGCGCCGGCCAGCTGCCCCTCGTGGGCAAAGGCAGGGCCACCGTGGTCCTCCTCACATTTCCACCTGGTGGCCTGGCGGGTGGAGGGGGAGTCTTTGCACCAAAGATGTCCCAACTTGGCCCCCTTGCCCACCAGCCACTTTGCCGTCACCCCAAACAGCTCAGCTTGGCGTGCCCAGGTCCGGGGGGGCGGGGGCCTCCCCTATGCTGGTGGGCAGCAGCCGGGGGAGATGCTCTCTGTGCCAAGGCCCCTGTCCCGCTCCCTCTGGGGAGGAGGTGGCAGGAGCACTCCCGCTTCCCTCCCGCAGGGGCAGGGGCGGAGGGCACCCAGGGGCGTCCTTGTCACCGGGGAAGGGCTCCGGTGCCCACAGCGCCTCCTTCGACTCTTGACGGTGTGTCCAGCACTCAGACTGTTGTATACTGTTGTTTTGTATGAGCAAAATTGTCTTTACTAAACAGATTTAATAGTTGAAAGGTTTTCTTTCTCTTCCTTCCTGGGGCTCGGGCCCCCAACCCCCACCTCCACGTGTTGGGGAGGGCAGGGCTGGGTGCCCTGGGGAAGGAGGGGTGGGGGAGCAGAGGAGGACCTCCTGGACCCGCAGGAGCGGCACCTCCCCGGGTGGGGATGAGTCTGCTGCTGGGATGGGGCCGCTGCTCCTACTGTCCTTAGCACAAGTCGGGAGGCAGCGAGGGCTGGGAGCCCACCCCCTTTTGCCAAATACCAAATCAGGATCCGAGCTGCTTCTCGACACATTCTTCTTTGACCTACATGGCCACCGCCAGGTGCTGGCACCCTTGGTCTAGGGGAGCCGGCTGGTGTGGGTGGGGCACACGGAAGAGGAGCTGGTGGTGAATTTGGTTGAAATCCTGAAAAAGAGACCAGCGAGCAGTCGGTGTAGTGCCTGCAAGTTCCAGGAGGTGGCGCTAGGGGCCAGGAAGAAACCAAAGCTGGAGGAAACAGCAGGGTTCAGGGACCCGATTTGCAGTAGAGCCTACAACAGAAACGGGCCTGCCAGCCCCACTGCTCTCCCTCTGGCTCGGGCGGATAAATCGCACGCCCTAGGTCATTTCACGCACTTGCTCTCGTGTCGTGCTCAGAACTCTCGTGGAGAAAGGCAGTGCAGGACGTCCTGGCCACCCGTCCCTGCTGAGGGTGCCCCAGAGGGTGAAACCGTGTGCGGGGGTCTCACAGCTGACTGCTCTGGATCAGATATCAGGCTGCAGGGTCCTGTCCTCACACCTGCCCCTGCCTGGAGGAGAGAGGAGAGGTTCACTTGTCCCCTCCGTCACCAAAGATACCGCGTCCCCACCCTCAGCTCATGGGAACAGGGGCCCCACGGCCCCGTGACTCCTGAATGGGTTGCTGAGGTTGGTTCCTGCCTTGACGCTGCTCACCACTCTAGAAACCGCTGCTCAGAATAAGCCAGAATGAGGTTTTGCTTTCAGAGAAATCCAGTTATTTTGTCTGCACTTGCACAAGGTGTCAGAAGTGGTAAGAACCCCAGCGGGGAGAAGGAAGTGGGGCAGGGCGGGAAGGGAGTCAGGGACGCAGGGGAGAAGGAAGTCGTCAGCTCTCTGCTGTCTTCAGAGGCTTGGTCGTGATGTGTCTTGTTCCTGCCGTAGACACTGGACGGCGTGAACAGCACACATGGATTGCCTTGCTGTTCTTCAGGTCAAAGGTGTGGTAGGGTCTCACGGGTCTCAAGTCTTAGGTCTCAGCAGGGCTGCACTCCTTTCTGGAGGCTGTTTCCTTGCCTTTTCCAGTTTCTAGAGGCTTCCTGCGTTCCTTGGTTTGTGGCCCCTTCCTCCATCTTCAGCCCGCAACCTCCCATGTCGCCGGCATTTCTTCTGCGGTCACACCTGTCTGACCCAACTAGCAAGGGGCTTGTTGCTTTTAAGGACTAGTGTGGTGAGATCTGGCCCGTGCAGATAATTCAGGATAATCTCCCCACTGCAAGGTCCCTGGCCTTAATCCCATCTGCAGAGTCCCCTTTGCCATGTCAGGTGACATAGCCCCAGGTCTAGGGACAGGGGCATGGCATCCCCGGGACTGCGGTTCTGCCACAGAGGCCTGTCCCACAGCCTTTCTCAGTGGTGCCCAACGTCGGCCCGTGGGTTTTGCTTCCTTTCCTGTCTGGGTCGGCCCAGCTCAGGGGGACTCTGTGGCCACTGAGGATCCAGCCCGATGCTGGCTTTCAGGGAAGGCGGCTGGGGCGAAGGGCCAGGAAGGATCTGGCCTGGCGGGTGGGGACCTGCCACGTGCTTTCCATGCCCCCATGCCCTGACCTTGCATGTCGCAAGCCCCTGTTTCTAGCGGGAACTCAGCGACCTCCTGCTGAACTCCCTCGTGGGACAGCGGCGGAAACCTCTGTCCCTAAAGGCAGATGCTGGCCTGCGTGGGTGCAGGGGGGCGGGGAGAGCAGGTGTGCGGCTGGAATACCCTAAGTGGTGTGGGATAGGAGGAGGAGCTGCAGACACCCCCAGGCACCTGCCGAGTGCCCTCTTCACCATCACGAACACCCTCTGGGGGGCTCAGCCCAGCCTCCGGTGTACCGAGAGGAACCCGAGGCTTGGAGAAGTAAGGAGACTTGCCCAAGATCATACAACCGGTCAAATGACCTAGATCTGTTTCCAAGTTTAGAGCTCCTTTAAAATCCATGGAGGTCTTCTTGCCAAGCGAGGGCCGAGGGGGCTGGGAGGATCGTTTCCTTTTCCATGAAATGGGCATGAGGTTCCTAGGCCCTGTGGCTGTCGTGAGGAATGCAATGAGCTACTGGATTTCCTTTGTCACTCGTGGGCCGCCCTGCAGAGCGGGCACAGGGAGTGCAGGGCTGGAGTGGGGCCTGTGGCCCAGGCGGAGTCAAGCTCCTGCCCCTAGTTCCATGGGTCCCTGTGTCTTGGGGTGAAGAGGCGGTTGGGTTGGTAAACAATAACAGTAAATTCGGGGTTTTCCTTTGACCAGGTTGGGGACAGGAAACGCGGAGGGCTGTGAACGGTGGGTGGGGAGGTCTGCGCAGGGTGTGAAGGAAATTCGGTTATTCAAGGCGGAGGGTGAGGGTGGTGAGGCCGGGGAAAGTGGCTGTCCCACTCACTGGGGAATGTAAACAAACCCTGCTGGGCACTACCCAGGTGGGCCAGAGCGGGTCAGAGGGGGTTTTGGTGGAGGGGGGGTACCGCTGCATCGCACCACACCCCAACAATCCAGCCCCTTCTGGGTTCTGTCTCTTGCAGCCTGCGCTTAGGGGCCAGTTCCCCTGGGGTGAGTGGCTGAGTTTGGGAGGAGCAGCTCTTGGGAGGGGACACCCTGCTGCAGCTCTGGGGGCCCTTTGGGTGACTTCATCTCCTCTCCCGATCAGACCAGTGCGGAGCGTCTGCCCAACATGCTAAACCACAGAATATCCGGGCACCTCCTGGATGCCGTGTGCTTTGGGAAAAGCAAGCCAAGTGTCAAACTCGGTTCCTGCCCTTGAGGGGCTGGTTGGGGACATACAGAATGCCTGTGCGGCAGAGAGTGGCCTTGTCTGTCTTTCCTCTCCCTGCATGCACAGGCCTGGGCACCTTAGACTCTGGTCCAGACAGGGAGGGGTGTGTCATCCCAGCCCAGCTGGCATGGGGCAGCCTCTTAGGGCCTAGAGGTTTGGAGACTGGAAAGAGGAGTGTGGTCAAAAGAAACATGCCCTGGCTCCTTGTGCTCGGTTTGGCAGAAGCCCCCACATCCATGCCTTGGCTGGGGGTGGTGCCCGTGTCCCCCCCACCCAGGCATGCAAGGGTTAAATGAGGCCAACGGTGGCTGCTGGGGAAGCAATGTTGTGGGTGTGAAAGGGGAGGGCCACTTTGGCCTCTTCGGCCTGAGCTGCTCTTCAAGAAGATTTTCAGCCACGATTCAAAAGTACAAATGCCACATTTGGATTCGGTGCATCTCGAGCACCTGCTCTGCGTAACGCCCAATGCTCAGGGATTGGCGGAGACGCAGGTGAGTAGGAAGTGGGTCCAGCCCACGTGGAGCACAGTGTAGAGCAGTGGACAGACGCGGCTGTGACAGAAGGCAGGCAGAATCCACGTGCCCTAGAGCAGCAGGTGGTCGTGGCGCAGGAGGGGCCATTCTGCCGGAGACCGGGAGGGTTCCCTAGCAGCCCCATGCGCTGGCACTGGAAGGACAGTTCTGGTGGTGGGAGATGAGCAAGCGGCATGGTAGAGAGTTTCCCATTGG